TATGTTGGTTGGGATCCCGGAACAGAAAATGGACATTAGGAAAGGTGAATAAAGCATAGGTATCAATTTAAAATAGTGTATCAATATCGATTCACTAACTGTGATGAATATTCCAGATTAATTAGATGATAATAATAGGGGAAGAAACTGGGTACAGGCTACATAGAAACTGCGCACAGCATTTCAGCTTTTCTGTATCTCTGAAACTATTGTAAGAATTTAAAATATATTTTTGAAACTTATGATAAAATATGGGCTGGAGCGTTAGCACAGTGGGTAGGGCATTTGCCTTGCATGTGGCTGACCTGGGTTCGATTCTTCTGCCCCGTCGGAGAGCCCAGCAAGCTACCGAGAGTATCTCGCCCACACAGCAAAGCCTGGAAAGCTACCCATGACATATTCAGTATGTCAAAAACAGTAACAGTAACAAGAATTTCACAATTTGTTGTGATACGTTACTGGTGCCCAGTACTGTCCTCCTGTTGTTCATCGATTTGCTCGAGCGGGCCCAGTAACGTCTCCATTGTGAGACTTAGTTGTTACTGTGTTTGGCATATCAAATACATCACGGGTAGCTTGCCAGGCTTTGCCGGGCGGGCGAGATACTCTCTGTAGCTTGCCGGGCTCTCCGAGACGGGCGGAGGAATCGAACTCGGGTCGGCCATGTTGGCTGCGGGCAAGGCAAATGCCCTACCCACTGTGCTCTCGCTCCAGCCCAGGAAGACAGTGCTACAATGATAAAATATATAAAATAATTGGGAGATGAACGATGGAGTTAGAGAAAATTTTTGAATATTGGGAACAGTAAGATATATTCCCTTTAGGATATAATTATTATAATTTCTGTTTTTTCCCCATTTGGGATGAATTTGGGGCAAGTTTTTCTAAATTCAGGAAAAGAAAAAGTACACCTTATCAATTACTCATCTAGCATAACTTTCCAATAATTTTTTTGTTTCTAGTATTTTGAGATATTTTTCACTGGAACTAAAATGTTCTAAAAATGTAACCATCCATTTTTGGCACATTGCTGAAGATGAGACAAAACCATTAATATGGAAACTAGAATAGCTGGTACTCAGACTAAGGTAATACATTTCTCCATTAACAATTCATGGCTGTAATCTCTTATCAGTCTTCTGACATTTCTAAATTTGATCTTTCCAAATCTCTATTCACTCAACTGAAATTTATTTTGCGTTCATATACAAGGTGATATTGGATCAGTAAAGTAAATTAAACTCAGATCCCTGCCTCAAGAAGTTTATAATTAAGTGCTACAGATTAAATGTGTGTATATAAACAACCTATCAGAAAGTTGCTGACCAAGTGCTAACCAAGATGAAGTAGTGGAAGAAATTACTCCAACATAAAGAACTCTGAAAAGTCTTTACAAAGAATATAGTAGGTTGACTTGGTTTTACATATATTTGTTGAGTTACTGAAAGACTTGTAGATGTATAATAGGAAAAAGGGAAGACATTTTTATCTTGCTTCTTACAATGTGGTATTTCGGTCTCTCTCTTTCTCCCTCCCTCTCCCCCCCCCCCCGTGTCCTTCAACACTGCTCAGAATTTTCTAATGGCTCTTCACTCAGGGATTACTCCTAAGGGGGCTTAGGGGACCATATGGGGATAGAACATTGTACTATCACTTCAGCCCTATCTTTTTATCTTGCCTACTTAATTCTTCAGGTTAACAAATCAGTTGATTTCCATCACTTTCCATTTCTGCATCTCTGTATATGCATTATTTATAATATATTGTTTCCAAAGACCTTTATAGTGACTTTCAATGACTAGAATAAGGAATGGAGGCTGAGGAGGAGTAAAGCCAGTCTTATTGTCATTGCAAGTGCTTTTTTTTTTATTAGCCCACTTTCCAGCTTTGAATTTACTTAGATTTTTTTATATCTCTGTGTGTCTTCTTTGGCCTTATAGAAATATCTGCTACATGGAGGAATAATTAAAATTAGTCCTATAAGTTTTCAAATTCTTAACAACTTTTGTCAGGGATCTGGTGAAAGAGACTAAAACTATATCTAAATTTGCCAATCATCTGTAGATTTCAGTTTTATAGATTCACTCCCTCGTTTCTATGGATAGTAAAGGGATGGATAATAGAATTTACTGGTCATTGTCTTCTCAGTTTCACTATTTTAATGTGCTTTTTTTGGTTGGTTTGGGAGTCACTCTCAGTGGTTCTCAGGACTCTGTGCTCAGGTGTTGCTCCTGGTATTGCTTGGGTGCTGGAGATCAAAACAGGCCTCCTGCATCCAAAGTGTGCGCTCAACCTGTTATCTCTTAGTCCCTATAATTTTTTTTAATGGCCCACATTTTAAATCTATAGGTAATAGCAATAATCCATTATTCTTTTCCCTCAAGAAATACAAAAAGCCTTAACAATTGTTTTATAGCGGTATATTCATAGTAAAAACTTGTACAGATATAATACTAAAATCATAAGTTACAAAACAAAGATACAGTAGACCTCATCAGAATAAGAAACTTTTGTGCTGCCAGTAATGCCATTAAGAAAATCAAAGACAATTCACATCAAAGGAAGCAACATTTGAAAATCATGTAACTTGTAAAGGACTTATTCCAAAATATATAAGAAACCCCTACAATTCAATAATAATAGGAAAACATATTTAAAAAACGATCAGAGAATTTGAGTAGAAATATAAATGGCCAGTAGCCATACACACTAAAAAGCTTTTTAGCATCATTAATTGTGAGAAAAATAAATCAAAGTTTTATTTATTTTTTAATTTTTATTTTCATTTTATTGAATCACCGTGAGATAGTTACAAACTTTCATGTTTTGGTAACAATCACACAATGATCAAATACTATTGCCTCCACCAGTGCACATTCCCCACCACCAATATCCCCAGTATACCCCCCTTTCCCACCCTCCCCCTGCCTGCATGGCAGACATTATTCCCCATAATCTCTCTCTACTTTGGGGCATTATGGTTTGCACCAAAGCTAAACCAAAAAGTTTTAAAATACCACTTCACACCCAGTAGACTGGTAATAATAATAAAAATACTACACACGTTTTATAAGGATGTGTAGAAACTAGAATCCTCATATGTTGTGGTTTGCAAAAGAGGCACTGAGTGGCAATCATGTTCAGTCTAGTGTCTACTTTCAGCATGCTTCTCCCATCCTGGGAGGATCCTCCCAACACCCTTTATTTGGTGCTCCCTTCTCTATCTGAGCTGCCTTTTTCTCTAGCATGTGTGGCTGGCCTCCAAGCCATGGAGTAAACCTCCTGGTACTAATCTCGGCCACTCTTGGGTGTTAGTCTCCTATTTTGTTACTTTATGTTCCCCAGATGAATGCAGTCTTTCTATGTTTATCCCTCTCTTTCTGACTCATTTTGCTTAACATGATACTTTCCATATTGTACCATTTGTATGTAAATTTCATGACTTCATCTTTTCTAACAGCTACATAGTACTCCATTGTGTAGATGTACCAAAGTTTCTTTAACCAGTCATCTGTTCTTGGGCATTCATGTTTTTTCCAGATTCTGGCTATTGTAAAGAGTGCTGCAATGCCCTGCCACAGAGGCAGAGTGGGATGGGGGGTGGGGGGAGGAAGCATACTGGGACCCGTGGTGGTGGAAAATGGGCACTGGTGGAGGGATAGGTATTTGATCATTGTATAATTTAAATCCAAGCACAAAAATTTGTAAGTTTACAACTGTACCTCATGGTGTTTGACTAATAAAAATTAAAAAAAAGAATATAGAATCGTACAGCCTTTGGGAAAACAGTCTGGAAATTACTCAAAAGTTAGACATATGGGGGCTGGAGTGATAGCACAGCGGTATAGGAGAGATAGTGCAGTGAGGAGAGGGTTTGCCCTGCATGAGGCCAACCTGGGTTCAGTCCCTTGCACTGCATATGGTTCCCTGAGCCCTGCGAGGAGTGGCCCTTCAGCACAAAGTCAGAAGTAATCCCTGAGCACTGCCAAGTATGGCAAAAAAATAAAATTTAATGTGGCATATACATGTAACACTGTCCTCTCATTGTTCATCGATTTGCTCGAGTGGGCACCAGTAACTTCTCAAAACAAATTGTGAGACTTATTGTTACTGTTTTTGACATATTGAATACATCACGGATAACTTGCCAGGCTTTGCCGTTCAGGCAAGATACTCTTGGTAGCTTGCCAGGCTCTCTGAGAGGGGTGGAGGAATCAAACCCAGGTCAGCCACTTGAAAGGCAAATGCCCTACCCACTGTGCTATCATATGATGGAATATTATTTGGCAATAAAAAGCATTGACACTATAATATGGATGAAACTTGAAAATAAACAAAGTGAACAAAACACGACTTAAAAGTCACATTCAAGGTGATTCTATTTATTTGAAATGTCCCGAATAGGCAAATCAATGAAGACAATAGATTAGTGGTAGGGTATGTGTATGGGTAGCAGTTGGAAGGAAAGGACATTAACTATTAATGGATTTGGGGCTTTCTTTTAGGGGACATAGCAATATTCTAAAATTAGATTGGGTGAACATTCCTCAAAAGCTAGAAATTGAGGTTCCATATGACCCAGCATTACCACTTCTTGGAATATATCCTGAGGGCTCAAAAAAACACAGCAGGAATTCCTTTTGCACTTCTATGTTCATTGCAGCACTGGTCACCACAGCCCAAATCTGGAAACAATCTGAGTGTCCAAGAACAGATAAAGGGATAAAGAAACTATGGCATGTCTACACAATGGAATACTACGCAGCTGTAGGTAAAACGAAGTCATGAAATTTGCTTATAAATGGATGGGCATGGAGAGTATCTTGCAGAGTATGAATCAGAAGGAGAGGGACAGACATACAATGATCACACTCATTTGTGGGATATTTAAAGAAACACACCATAATATAAGACTAATACCCATGGGCAGTAGATAAAAGGGCCGAGAGAATTGGTCCACGGTTGGAAGCCTGCCTCAAGTTCTGGGGAAGAATGCAGTTGTGTTCTTGCTTCAGCAGCACATATACTAAAATTGTAAATGATAGATTTGCGTGGCCCCTACGCAAGGATGACACACAAATTCATGAAGCTTTCCATATTTTTTTTAAAAAGGAGGAGGCAGTTGGAATAGAGAAGGAACCACTATGACAAAGATAGTTGGAAATGATCACTCTGGATAAGAACTGTGTGCTGAAAGTAGGTAAAGGAATAAATATGATAACCTTCCAGTATCTATATTGCAAACCATAATGCCCCAAAGGAGGGAGGGTGAGTGAGTGTGCGTGTGTGTATGTGTGCGCGCGCGCGTGTGCGAGAGAGAGAGAGAGAGAGAGAGAAAGAGAGAGAAAGGCTCAGGTGGAGGGTGGTGGCAGGAGGGAAACTGAGGATATTGGTGGTAGCAAATATACACTGGTAGATTGATGGGTGTTGGAAAATTGTATGACTGAAACTCAATCATGAGCAGCTTTAAAACTGTGTATCTCATGGTGATTCAATAAAAAATTAAATAAAATTAGGTTGGGTGATATTTGCACAGCTGTATTAAAATTACTTAATTTTAAATTTTAAATGGTAGAGTTTATGCTACATGAGATATATTTCTTTTGTTGTCGTTCATTTTGTTTGGGGGCCAAAACCTGGTAGTGTTCAGATCTTACTCTTGTCTGTGTTCAGGAATCATCCCTGGCGGTGACTTGAGGGACCATATGTGATGCTTGGTATTAAACCAGAGTTGACCACTTGCAAGGCTAACACTTTCACTCCCATACTATCTCTTCAGCAACTTAGATGAAGTATATTTCAGTAAAGTTGTCCTCACAGTTGAGATGATACTGGCATGCTAGATACCGACACCAAAATCTGAATAAACATCTTCTTCAGAATTGTTAATATTGATATGGAAAAGTTATAGGGCAATGTGGAATTTTCTCAGGCTATGTGGAATGCACTACTTCTTAATTAAGGGCAATTAAATTTAGCTAACCTTAACATAACTTCTGAATATATTGCATTTATTCATTGTTTTATTTCCAAGAATCTGTAAACTCTATGTGAAAAGGTTAGGAAATACTTAGAAAAATTACAGTGACCACAGCTATCCTTAGCAGTAATTGTACCAACATTGGATTTTAATTTCAGACCTAACAGAATAGATGTCACAGCAAGCTAGAAGACACCAGTAAATCCACAAGGAAGGAAAATTTGGAAATTAAATTAATATTAGACTATTTACTAGTCTAGTATTTTTTGTGATGTATTGTACTTTCCTGGTTGCCTATAATAGCTTTGGTAGTTAGAGGTTGAGTTAAACTTTAAGAAGATGGTGGAAATATATAGAATATGGAAGTGTTCTTAGAAGAGTAAAACATAATGCCATTTTTTATTGTCTTCAAAAAAATTTTTTGATAGATTTATTTATTTATGTTTTGGGGCCACACCTGGTGGGGCTCAGAGAGTACTTCTGCTCTGCACTCAGGAGTCACTTCTGGCTCACTCAGAGGACCATATGGGATGCCAGGTATTAAATCTGGATCATCTGCTTGCAAGACAAGTGCCCTATCCACTAACTATCTCTCTGACCCCAATGCTTTTGTTTTTTGTTTTGTTTTGTTTTTTTGAGTGGAAGGGTAACACCTGCTGATGCTCAGGAGTTCTTCTGGCTTTGAACTCAAACATCATTTCTGGCAGTGTTCAGGAGAATTTATGGGATACCAGGGATCATGTGCAAGGCAAGGCCTTATCCACTGTATTAACACTCCAGCAGTCCCCTTCCATTCTTAATCTAATGCCATTAGCACATTTGTAGCTATTTATTACTTTTGTTTTGAGTTTTCTCCTATTTTGTCTTTATTCAGAGCTAATTAAAGATGCCTAAAATTTTTCCTTTTAAGGGACATTTAAGAAAAGAACACCTCCTTTCTTTTTTCAATGAAAGAAAGTCCTCCTTCCTTCAGGAATTATTTATTGAATACCTTTTCTATGCAAGACATCAAACCAGGTGTGGGTTATTTCTAAAATAATGGGGATCACTACAAATCTGAGCTCTGAAATACACAGTAACTTTACAAGACCAAGAATGATGATGATAGCAGCAAAGAGGTTATTGTTGTAAGTAAAAGGAAATAGAATAATTCCATTGAACTTCCTGTGACAGAGTGACAAATGGTGATAGTCCCTGTGTAAGCCCTGAACATCAGCTGAAGAATGACTGCATTTTCCAGTGTAATGAGATAATGCTTTGACCTGATGTTAAAGCCAGCTGTTCTCATAGTTATGATATAACACAGTAGTGTGATATAACACACCAAAAGTAGATAAGAAATATATTTCTTCTCCTTTTTTCATTCTTTTCTTTTAAAAAATCTATGTTGTTCTTCTATTTTACTGACTGTTAAAGAATATTTTTACTAGTTTTATTGTTACTGATAGAAAATTATCTGGTCTTTCATGTTGAGTTGGATATTTGTGTGTATATATATGCATATGTACACACAAATAGATGCATAGGCACATTGACTTTTTATTCTACTTACACATTCTCTTTTTGCCATTTTTAAACTGTTTTGACTATCTTTTGTGTGAATTGAGCAGTCCTTTGCTATGAGTCATTTAAGTTTAGTCAGAATACATGATACACCAGAGGGGGAAGTAAGTCTGTCATAACTTATTATTTCGCTTATGTTATAAAAGATAACATGATAGGAAGATGAGCCCTTCCTACTAATGCAATATTTAGAAACTAGAATTTTCCAATTACTTAATAAAATCATTTGTCATCACCCTGGTAAGAATGGATGACTTTCTGGACACATCTGATAGTCTGAGCAATCCAAGGGAGGTTGAACTGTTCCTCAGGTTTTTGTAAATTGTTGGGTAATTATTTATTTACATAAAACTATTATGTAAATTTTTAAAGTCATATTTTAAACTGGGATGAATATTTAATTATTTTCCTCACTAACAAGTAAGGAGAGGCTGCTAAAATCTCAGGACTGGCACATCCAAAAGAACAAAAGCAACCGATGTTGGCGCAGATGTGGGGAGAAAGGGACTCTCCTTCACTGCTGGTGGGAATGCTGACTGGTTCAGTCCTTTTGGAAAACAGTATAGACGATTCTCAAAAAATTAAAAACTGAGCTCCCATTTGACCCAGCAGTATCACTCCTGGGAATATGTCCTGGAGAGGCAAATAAGTACAGTCAAAATTACATCTGCACTTGTATGTTCATTGCTACACTGTTCACAATAGCCAAAATCTGAGAAAAACCTGAGTGCCCAAGAACAGATGACTGGTTAAAGAAACTTTGGTACATCTACACAATGGAATACTATGCAGCTGTTAGAAAAAGATTAAGTCATGAAATTTACATACAAGTGGTTCTACATGGAAAGTATCATGCTAAGTGAAATGAGTCAGAAAGAGAGGGACAGACACAAAAGACTGCACTCATCTGGGGAATATAAAGTAACAGAATGGGAGACAAACACCCAAGAATAGTTGAGATAAATACCAGGAGGTCTGCTCCATGGCTTGGAAGCCGGCAGCACATGCTGGGGGGAAAGCCAGCTCAGATAGAGAATGGAACACCAAGTAAAGGGTGTTTGGAGGATTTGCTCAGGATGTGAGATGCATGCTGAAAGTAGACTATAGAATGAACACGATGGCCACTCAATACCTCTATTGCAAACCATAACACCCTAAAGGAAAGACAGAGTAAAAGGAATGCCCTGCCACAGATGCGGTGCAGGGTGAGGGGGATGGGGTGGGGTCTACTGGGATCATTGGTAGTGGAGAATGGGAACTGGTGGAGGGATGGGTACTTGATCATTGTACAACTGAAACCCAAGCATGAAAGTTTGTAAGTCTACAACTGTACCTCATAGTGTTTCACTAATTTAAGAAAAAAAAACACTTCAGGGCTGGGGTGAATGGAGACGTTACTGGCACCTGCTCAAGTAAATTGATGAACAACAGGATAACAGTGATACAGTGATACAGTGAACCAGTGAATGTAGGCCTGGGTGTAAAATAAGATTAGTTCTAAGCAAAATTAAGGAATTGTGCTTCTCTTTCCAAATCTGAATTGTAGTGTGAGCTAAAATTATGTGTCACAGTGATATTTATGGGATTGTCAGAGAAAGTGTCGTCATCAATGACTGAGACAGAACATTCAAATAAAAAAGATGATGTAGAGCTTGTGATAGTAGGATGCAAAGGAAGCAAGAAATCTGAGGAGAAGGAGCAGTTATCTTTGAGTCACACCCTCAAACCCCTGTGAATCTAAGGAGTTGGTAAAGGTAAAGGCCCTCCCGTTGATCGTCGATTTGCTCGAGCGGGCCCAGTAACGTCTCCATTGGAGACTTTGTTGTTACTGTGTCTGGCATATCGAATACTCTCGGTAGCTTGCCGGGCTAAGGAGTTGAGTCCAGGAAATTTAATTATAAGTTCTTTTGAAGGGGTAAGGGGTTTGGTCATATCCAGTGGTACTCAGGGATCACTCCTGATGATATTTAGGGGACCATATGTGGTGTCAGGGATTGAGCCCTGGCCATTTGCAAGGTAGGCACTTTATTTCTTTGATCCAAGAGTCCAAACTCTTAATCACTGCTTTCCACTGTCTTCATAGACAGGGAAAGAGTGATCTGAAGGATACCAGGATACAGGAAGAAGGTATTTTTTGTTTTCAAATTTAAAAATAGCAGAATGTTTAGCCAGGCAAATGAGTGATAAGGACACAAGGAACTGATTAATGGAACTTAGTTCTGGAAGAGACATGGGGGAAAATGATATCAAAAGAACTCAGGATGAATTTGACCTTGTCAGGGGTAAAGCCCCCTTTTCACTAGCTTAAGAGTTGTTATGTCTGAAACCAACCCCAGAATCTGAAGTAAGGCATCTCTGGTTTTGTTCTAATTTTGTTGGCAGGTGCTGTCTGACTACATGTTGTAGGCAATTCTATGTTAGAAGCTGTTCCCTTAATTTTTGTGACATCTGGTACAGTTTTTCTGGCCAGAGGGTTCTCTTAGGTCAATACACATTTCTCACTTAGTTCACCCAAGCAGTGTCTTTAGAGAGAGTTTACAACAGGGAAGGTAGGCCGGGA